AAGGAGGTAAGGGCTTTCCCTCCATGCTCATTTTCCAGGTTTGTACTTTTAGTTATATTCACTCTCCTAGGAAATTCCTACCCAGTCTTTTCTTGATACTCTTTTTTTTTTGTATGCTGGTGGTATGGGGATCAAACCCTGGACCTTGGTATTTTCAGCATCACACTCTAACCAACTGAGCTAACTGGCCAGCTCCTACTTATATTTTTTTTTAAATGAGAAAAATAGTCACTCTTTATTGAAATGTATTTTAGGAGGAGAATTGTTATAATGCTTTGCCTGTCTAAATTGCCAAGGTTTTTGATAAAATTGGCAGACTGAATGACAGCCACAAACCCAAGGTTAGACTCAGAGTCAGTTTCTCTTTGGCTTTCTCTCCTATTAAGCCTCCCTTTCATGTGTAGCCAAGTGAAAGTCTCCAAGTGAAATGTAAGCTGTGCAGATCCTCGGAGGCCTTGGCCTGATGAGAGGATGCAGAAGAAAGGCAGTAGTTTGGAAAGCCTGCTGAAGGCATGGAGGGCAGAGGGCCTGGGTGATGACACGACTCTCAGACCTTTCTAAGGAGATGTGTGAGAAGGCAGTGCCTCCACGGGCTCTGGATGGATGGATTTTACCCACAAATGTAGTCCTGGGCTATCAAACCAATTGTTTGGACTTGATCCCTCAGATGTTGCAAAAAGAAAATGTGTTCTTTTATTGCTCTTCCAAGTCGTTTAATCGTTTATCCTTAATCATCTGCAGTCTGTGTGGGAACAAGTCTTTTAAAGATCACTGAACTTTGCTTGATTTGAAATCAGAGTAGAATTCATTTAATGTGGGGAAACCTTCCTTTGAGAAACTTGACACAAACTGGCTTTTTAGCCTCTTAGTATTTGATTGAAAAATAACACTGTAGAAAAACACAGCCAGATGCACAAATGTCTGCTCATGAGTTAGATTGCCATAAGCTTCATGATTCTCTGTGGTTATTGATCACTGAAATAACCTTAGCAATCAAGATTTACCAAGTCAGTGTGTATTAATGAATTTTTGGTTGCATCACAGGAATGTAACCTTAGGTGAATCATAATGTATATCACTGTTGCCATGTCTTCTCACCACTTGTTCTATTAATAAATAATACTTGATGATTTTAGGAACACTTAATAGATTTGCTTTGTGGAAAAGTTAATAAGTCCATTATTTCCACTGGTGTGTGGAAGTGATCTGTAAAGAAACAAATTCCTCTAGTTCCCACATCAGCATGTTACAAAAGAACCATACTATGGGTCATTTGGAATTTTACAGATCTGTTCAAGGAACAATTTAGAATGGTTTCTAAGAGTGCTAAATCTGTATCTTGGTGCCTGGATTTGGCTGGCATGGATTTGAACAGAGTGGGCCAAACAGAGCTAATTGAGGTGGGGAAAAATCGAGAGAACAGGCCATAATGGTGAATAGAGTTATTTGTCACCAAGTTTGTAATAGGATTTTCAATTAATTCATGCAGGTTTCCAATGCCTTACATTAGCGCTGTCAAGATGAACTACAGCCACATCTAAAATGCCATCCCCTATTAAACGGTGCATGTCAGTGAATTTGTAATTTCTTCTGTTCAACCAGAAGATGAATGGGTTCTAATCAGAAAATAAATGTGTGCTTCAGAAACGCACATTTCAAAATCCTGAACACTTCCTAGGAGGAACATTCTTTGCATTGTTATACAGTGAATGTGTACTAAAAATGTAATTGCTATGTGAATTCATCCAAAAGGAAAGCATCCAGCTGACAAATACATTGTCAGGTGCCCCATATCCCTGATGAACAGGCTTCTCACACTGGGCAATGATGACAATGATGATAGTTCACACAAGTAGCACTCACTGCCTGCTGGGCCATTTGGGGGTAGTTTACATACATGTATTCACTAAATTCTCACAACAACCCAGATGAAGAAATTGAGGCACAGAGAGGTTAACCTGCCCAAGAGCGCACAGCTCGTAAGTGGCCAAGTGTGATTCAAACCCAGGCAATCTGGCTCTGATGTCTGCTTCCAACTTGTACCATATACTACCTGATCATAGTCTCATTAGAAATGTTACAAATAGTTAAGTACAGTACTTGTCAGGACTCAACCTCTCTCTTCTCTCACTCCCTCTCCCTCTCTCCCCCCCATAGTAATGTTTTTTGCTATGTTTATTTACTATTATTTCCTCAAACCTAGCTTGGGAAATATTAACTTGTGATATCCAGGCTTCAAGAAATACGTAATATAGTAGAGAATGTAGTGAGGTATCTGTGAGGGTAGAGAAAAATTAGAATTCTTCTTTCCACAAATTTGGACACTGAATGGAATGTGACTGAAGTTCACAGGATTGTGAAGGCCTTGATTTTGTGGTGCGACACTTCCATTCTGGGGAAGCCAAAGGGCACAGCAGAATTGCTTACAAGATTAGGTAAAGGCTGAACATCAGGCATCATGCCATTAGAGGCCAGATCTTAAGGCAGGGTCTAAAGGTCAGAGAACATGTGAGGATGTCAGTACTTCTGGAAAGCTTAACTCCTGTCTTCCCAGAATGTTGGCCTCTCAGGGCAGCTGTAGTTAACTAACCACAGCATCATGTGGACCATGCCAAGTCAAGATGATTGCCAGTAGCATTTTGAGAGCAAGAATTACTTCCTCTTATTCCAAACAAAAATATTTAGTAAAAACGTTTGGCTTACGTGTAGGCCCGAATCTAAATGTCTGACTAGAAGCCAAACTAGTTGTTAATAACTGTGTTATGAAGTTCTATTGCCATCAAGGTATAAAACTTTGATCCACATTTCGGGGTGGGGGGGTAGATATATGAGTAATGCAACTTATTACTCTACTTTGGAAAGATTAAACTTAAAAAATTCAGCTAGTTTAGGCCTTTGCTTTTGCACATAGCTGTCTGCCTGTCTGCCTACTCATGTCCATTTTCTGTACTACTGCCAGACTGATCTCTCTGACATGTGGTCTTACCATGTCCATCTGTGCTTCAAATCTGTGTGTAACTTACTACCTGAAGGACACAGCAATCTAAACTTTTTAACTTGTCATTCAAGACCCTCCATAAACTGGTCTCCTGCCTACCTTTCCCATACTTTATGTTCCGTAATTCCTCTCCAGGAACACTGCATTCTTTATAATCCTCGGGCCCTCTGTACAACATGCTACTTCACCTCCATGACTTTGCTGGTCCTGTCCCCTCTGCCTGGAATGCTGTTACTTTACTTTTCATTCCTCCACTCCAACTTTGCCTGGCTAGCTCCTATGGATCCTTTAAGACTTGGGGAAGTGTTTCATTTCCCACCTACCAAACCCAGAGACCTGTGTTCTCTGCTCCCATAAGCAGTGTGCATATGTCTATCATTACATTGTTTATACATTAATTGTTTTATCATTATTTCTAATATCCTGTCCCTTGAGGAAGAGAACTGTAGCTTGCTTATTCCTCTTTAAATCCTCAGTACTAGAACATTGCCTGATAAACAGTAAAGACTCGATAAATGTTTTCTGGATGAATGAATAAATGAATAAGAACATGAAAAGCAAGAACACTGTAATCTTGTTCAGTGAATTATTATAGACATGTTTGATTTGCCATTTATCCTTTGAATCAATGATAGGCAGCAGTTCCCCAGAGAGGCCAGAGATGTTAAAGTGACAACTAATGCTCAAGAATGGGCACCTCCAATGCCATTGGGAAGTATCATATTTAATCCATTTGATGATTAAATTGCTTTGGGAATGCATGCACAATTTTAAGCTTGCTATTTAAAATCATAGTGCAGTGCAGTAACATTTAAAACTTCATCTCTTAGCTCACTCAACAGTGCTCTTTAACCAAAGAGCAAAGTTGAGTGATCTAAGACTGTCAAAGACCAACCATATGTCTTCTGTACACTTACAGATTATAAACTCTGAGAGGGCAGGGACTGTGCCTGTCTTACTCACTGTATTCTAGACTCTGGCACAGAGTAAACCCTCATTAAATGCTTGTTGAGTTCATAAAAAGAATAATATCTACTGCCCACATTAAAAGCAGTATCAGGAAAAGGTTTGCCCAAAAGCCAAACTCTGATATTTATTAATCAAGCTTAAGAGCAGTTAGTACGTTAATGAGCTTCTGTTTAAATCTTTCTTCTCAGTGATTATTATTTATCCTGATGAATAAAATAATGTAGAAAATTAAGGGTTATTTTATGCATTTTAAAATTTTATACCAGGGAGTGAGACTCAGAAGTCATATGTTCATGTACTAATAACCTTGAACAAGATAAGCTTAGGAATAAAAGGCTAAATCATGGCTAGTGCATGAGTATCCTACTGTTCTTATCCCACTTCCGACATTTGTTTTGTATTTGCTATTTATTGATACACATATGTATTTCGTTGTGAGGTGCTCACACAGAGGAATCCGGAACCAGTGTTAGTATAACAGCTCTTTATTAGTTGACAGCTCTTTTTGGTGTTGCAGCTCTTAGTCCACAGTTCTTTTTGATGTTACAGCACTTTATTGCTTGCAAGCAAGGAGAGCAGGAGGGTCAGACTAGTATCTCCAGAATGAGGGAAAGAGCCCTCCTTATATAACCCAAAGTCTCCTGCCTAAGTTCCCATTTAGGTCCTCTTATGCAAATGAAGGATGCAAGTCTGTTAGTTCAGATTGGTTGGCTATGAAACGTAGCTCATTGGTCAGTTCTGGAGCCTAATTTGCATGGGTGCAGGAAGCAGGAAGCAAGCTGGATTACAGAAGCGAAAGTTCGTGGTTAGGTCAGCCAAGCATAAAATGTCTAAAACAGTTTCTCCAGCAACAGGGGGCAGGTTTAACAAACAGAAAGTACTCAGGGTTCCCTGCTTCAATATCATTTTATGTGTGAGATTTTCTTCAAAGAGTGAAGTGTGGATTTGTTCTTGACTTAAAAACAATGATCAGTTATATGTTCAGAGACAATTTTGTACTATTCTTTCATTAAAATTTATCTCTTTCTTTAAGGGTATACCTCAGTTACCATGTGCCAAAGCATTATACAACTACGAAGGAAAAGAGCCTGGAGACCTTAAATTCAGCAAAGGTGACATCATCATTTTGCGACGACAAGTGGATGAAAACTGGTACCACGGGGAAGTCAATGGGATCCATGGCTTTTTCCCCACCAACTTTGTGCAGATTATTAAACCGTTACCTCAGCCCCCACCTCAGTGCAAAGCACTTTATGACTTTGAAGTGAAAGACAAGGAAGCTGACAAAGATTGCCTTCCATTTGCAAAGGTAAAGTTAGAATGAGATTCTTTTCAGTTTGCCAGCTATTTCTCTGTATACGGGAATATGGTTTGTATTTCCTTTTGCAAAAAGATATAATAGTTATGTGTGAACTGTCTCATTGTGCTTCTAAAAACACCTGGAAGCAGTTTTCTTTAAGTCACAAGGAAGGTAATTTTGTGTATAGACTTTTGATATGAAAGATAATTTTGGTTGATGTTCTATGTGGTATCTTTTTTGTAGTTGAGCCTAAAATTATTTCTAAGCCACTTTAAAGGGTATGTGTGCCACTCGAGAATTTTAAAGTACTGAATTACGAATAACAAAATGAAATGTTATTTCCTTATTTTATATGTAAATTTCTTTACTTAAAAGCACACAGAAATATATCTACTGAGTTGATAAAATAGTTGGGATTTTAAGCAGAACATTGTGTTTTTTGTATAGATAAGCAGTAGGATATACATTTGAATGGGCAATTGATGTACTATCAGAGAGAAAATGAGAAGCAACTGAGAATCAATCTAAAATAGAAATTCAAGAGGCTGGGGTGGATAGCATTTGAGGTTGCAACTTGTGGGTCTAAATAAAATAAGCAGCCAGGCCCTTTTGTAGAAGGAGTTCATGGCTTTACAACTCTCTGAAAGGATGCCAATTGACGGATAGTTAACATTTAGTCCTTGAAAACATTGAATTCATGTACTAAAAATGTCATAGCATTTTTGTTCACGTACTCTTAAAACTTGAGTCCCTTTATTGAAAAGGAAAATTAAATAAACTTAATGGGATCAGGTAAACTGATGATTTGCTGTTTCTTCAGGATGATGTTCTGACTGTGATCCGCAGAGTGGATGAAAACTGGGCTGAAGGAATGCTGGCAGACAAAATAGGAATATTTCCAATTTCATATGTTGAGGTAAGTTAATATGTAGAAACTTGAATCATATTAGTATTCAGCTTAGGAAATAAATCTTAATTATGCAATTTGAGTATTAAGAAGTCCTTACAATACAAAGCACCAGGAATGCCCTGTTTCAGATCACTGGGTGGATTAGGAAATATTCCTTTATCCTGTCCTGCAATTATTGAAGACTGAGAAATGTTTGAAACTCTTTGTCTCCCTGCTAAAAGCATTCCTTTGTCTTGTTAAACGTTGGTGGATGCTGTCAGTCACCTATATATTTCCAGGTGTTCCATTCCATTTGCTGGCTTTGGGATCAGAAAGTTGGTAAAGTTCCTGAGTAAGGTGGCAGATTAGTGTACTTATTTATTTGTTTACTTATTTCTTTCATTATCTGCCACATCATCAGAACTAGAAAAGTGCTTTACAGAGTAGACCTTCAATAAACTTGTATTAAGTAAATGAGTAATGAATCTCCCTCCATCTCATCCAAGCAACTACTTAGCCGCCTCCCCGCCTTTTAATCAGCTTTACTCAGAAATCTTGTGGTGAAGCCTTGACTCAGTGAAGTCTTTTTAGAGAATATGTATAAAGTAACATAATTGTATTATTTAAAAAAATACATTAAAAATGAACTAAGAAGTTACAGTTTACAGTAGATTTCATTACATCATATATATTAAATGTCTTTTAGTAATAAGAATTTATGGGTGAAAACAAAATTGTAGCCATTTTAAAAGAATGCAGCAGACCAAACAACCATACAAGGTTAGCAGAGGCCACATGAAAGGCTTCTAGGAAGAAGTGAGATCTTAGTAGATATTTATGCAATGAGTAAATAGGGGTTAACCAAGAGAAATGGAAAAGGTGCATTTTAAGGCCGGAAGAACGTCCAGGTAGGGAGACCAGCATGCATAAAGCCAAAAAGTAAGAGAGCACAAATTGCTTGGGGAATTGAAAGTAATTCTATTATTTAAAATATCAAAGCACATATCTTAAGCATGTAAAAAAGAAAAACCACCATCACTTATTTTGCCATTATTTTATCGAAGGCGTTTGTTTTGGCATGATTCTGAAAACTAAAATGACAAATTATCATTGTAGCCAGCATTTGGTTTCCTCCACATACAGTGAGGTTGCCAAAGTTTTTATAAAAAATCAGTTTGACTACTGTATATCCATGGGAAAGTAATTTAAAACGTGTATGGGTCTTGAATTTTATCCATATCCTTCAGATGTTCTTGTTTATTGAAATATTTTTTCCTCCTTTGAAACTAAACAACAGAAAAAAAAAATCCTTAACTCTCAGGCAGTTCTTCCTGTGTATTATTTATATATTCTAACTGTGGGCCTTGGAAAACTACAAGCATTTCCAAGTATTTGAATAGTTACACTGAAGAGCAAAGGTAAGCACAAGATTAGTAATGTAAACTTGTCTTTACTTGTTAGTATTATCAATGTTACATACCGATACTTGGTTTGTAATGCATGAAAAAGCATTGTTATCTTTTTGTTATTGGGCAGGTGTAGAAAATTGCACAGATAGGCATAAAAGATTCACCAATGGCAAGTCACTTAGAATCACTCAAGTCATTAGGATCATTTACTCTGGCTTAAATTGAAAAGATAAACTCCTGCCCAAGTGGAAAGTATTTTCATTCTTCTACCTCTTCTTTCAAGTGAGTGTTTTCCTCATTTTAACCAGAATTTAGCAGGTGAGAGGTTGTAAACAACTCATCTATCTCTGGGAGCATACGGGCATTACTTTAATGTCAAGCCATCAGATTCAGTCTCCTGACAGGGAGCAGAGCATTTGGGGATTAGTGACACCCACTTTAGCCTGTAGGGGAATAAAGTGGAGGCAGATTTCAGTTGCAACCTACCAAAATTTTCCTGTTTCAATAATAGAGACTGTCTTACAGGGCAGCCTCAGGTGTGGCAAAGCAAGCTATAGGAATAAAAAACTAGGTAGGGCTTTTTCCTGATTAATGGTCTTCCTCTTGCTATATAAACCATTTTGTTTGGCCTACTTTAGGGCCCAGATAGTCCCCAACATAAAAACAGGCTGCATTAACAAAATTTATTTGTAAATAATTTCCTTTTATCTTATAAACAAATATTTAAGTCTCCATCAGTGTTGGGCGCTTTTATATTCAAAGTGTTGCCGAAAACTCTTATCTCCCAGAGGTTTTGAGAAGATTGAATAAAACAATATATCTAAAAGAGTCGGGCACCACTATATCTTATGCCTAGTGGTTTGGAGCTCAGATTAAACCCATAACCCAGAGTATGCCACAGTATAGTAATTATCAGATAAAAGAACTCTCCACCATTTATAATGAGGGAAATGGGGTTAGAATTTAATTCTGAGTCTCCAGAGCAACACCTTTATTTGCCGTGCGCCTGTCAACAGAAGCTGAAACTCCCCCTTGACTCCTACTGATAGGCTTTGATAGGGGTAGGATTATGGACCTGGAGTCTCATTTTATTTTGATTTTACTTCGATGGACCTGAAGTGGAATCTATGATCAGAGGTTCAAATGTGGAGTTATGGAATTTGGGGATAAGGTAAATTGAAAGGAGGTAAACATTGGAGGTGGGTAAAGAGAGGATTGAATTGGAAGATTGAGATGGTGAGAAATGCTGCTGGAATACTTTGCCCTCCCTTCCTGCCTTCAGTTATCCTTTCTCTTCTCCATAACTGTGGACTGTGATCTCCACCTGCATTGGAATAAGGTGATAAAACAGTGTTGGTGGTATAGTGACTTGCAAACAAATCTCATCTTATTGTAGTAAAACAATACTTTGCTTTACTTTGCTTATTAAAATAAAAAACAAAATTCTTCAAGGAATGAGCAGGGGGAAAATGGCTATGTAAGTGGCTCTGAATTTGTTCCCTGAAGTTCTTGTCTGGCTCTTAAGATGAGGGTTCTCTTGCTTGGATCACATTCACCTTTCCCCTCGGAAGAGTACTTCATCAGACCCCTCTCTGGTCAAGCTTTAAAGGTTGTGGATTCCCTTCTATTTAGACAGGCTCTTCTGTGATTCGAGCAAGTTGGAAAGTGGTGAGGGGTAAGAGTTTCACAGGACAACCCAGGGAATTCTTGAAGACACCTTGCCAGGATATGTATAAAAGGGCATATCTATCAAGGACTGAATGCAGTTAGAAAAAAAAAAAGAAAAATTAGTAGCCTGCTTTTTTCTTTGTTTACAAATACCAGTTTTCTACAAAATAGAATGGAAGATTTTAACAGCCCCATTAATTTGGAACTGACTCATTCAAGTTTATCATTCATTTGGACAAGGATGGCATGATTCTTAGCAAGCAAAAGGTTTGAATGAAGAAAATGCTAAATATGAGATTTTGGATATTTTTCAAACATAATTGTATATTGTAGGCTTATGGTGAACTATACATTTTTATTGTTTCTCATTTTCATTCCTAGTCATTTGTTTGAAATATCACTTACCCAGTTTTTTCAACAACAAAAAAGTTATTTAGCAAATTGCCCCTATGCTATAGATAATTTAAAGATAAGCATTTCTTATATGCAGATGGCATGAAGAAGGAGTGGCCTAATAGACAGCTGTTCTTACCCTTCAGTTACTGCCAGAAAGAAGGGCTACATTTCTCATTCTTTAGATTGTACCTCAGACGTCACTTCTGACAGACTTTCCCTCACTACCTTATCTAGAATAATTCCTCCTGTTGACTTGCTTTACCTCAAACACATAGTGGCGTGGTAGTGGGAGAAACTAGACTCTGGAGCCAGATGGCTGGGATTCAGGTCTTGGCTCTGTCACTAATTATCTGAGTGACTTTGGAACTGGTCTCATTTGTAAAATGAAAGAACCTCTTCATAGGTGAATTAATTCCAGTGATACCTAAGAACAGTGCCTGGCGCCTGGTAAGAGCTGTGTAAGTGATGGCTATAATTATTATCACCGCTGCTATTATTATTCCTTCATACCACTTTTTTCTGTCTTTACTTCAGGTTATTTGTTGATGTGGTTACCAGCTGGCCCCCAACTCTCTCTTCCTACATTAGAATGTGAGCCCCTGAGGGCCAGAGCTTTGTCTTTCTGGTTTACCTTCGTCTCCTGAGGTCCTCACACAGCACCTGCACATAGTAGGCTCTCAGTAAATATTGGTTGAATGAATGAATGAATGAGCAGCCTAGGAACTTTTATAATTAAAGTCTAAATCAAAACCAAACTGGTTTATAGATTTTGCCAACTTTTACATTTTTAAGCTACTACTCCCATCATTCACTGCTGAGGCATTTATTTCATCATTGGTTTATTTTGGTGTTACATCAGGAAGTTACATTCCTCAGAGCCAGCAGGTCTGTGTGACCTTAGTGAGATTTTTTTTTAACTAGACTGAATTAGTCTTTGGTTATGCCTATTGTAGAATTTTCCCAGACTAAAGTAATGGTGGACATACTTTATGTATTAGATCTTGTAACCTCTACTAATTATTATTTTTTTTTAAATATAAAGAAGACTCCCCCATGGAGGCAGTGTTGGGAAGAGGTTGATCAAAGGATACAAAATTTTAGTTAGATAGTAGGAAAGAGTTCAAGACATCTCTTGTGTAATATGGTGACTATAATAAATAACAATGTATTGCATTCTTGAAAAATGTGAAGAGAGTAGATTTTGAGTGTTCTCACCACAAAAATAATAACTATGTGAGATAATATATATATGTTAATTAACTCAATTTAACCATTCCACATTGTATACCAGGGGTCTTAACTCTATTTTTCCATGAACTGTTTGAAGTACTCTTGTATAACATTTCAAAACATCAAGTTGTACATGACAAATATATACAATTGTGTCAATTAAAAAAATAAAACATTAAAAAAACATTTCCTGGGGCCAGCCCGGTGGCGCACTGCTGCAGTGCACCGCTTGGGAGCGCGGCGGCACTCCCGCCGAGGGTTCGGATCCCACATGCAGACCGGTTCCTGCTCACTGGCTGAGCGAGGTGCGGGTGGGACACTGAG